CCCCCCCCCCCCGCCGATGCCCATGGCGGGCCGGGCCGGGCTGCTCTACTTCTGCCTAGCCTTTCCGCTGATGGGCGCACAGCAGCAGACGAGGCAGGACCGCGGAGAAGAAGCCGAAAGAGCGGCTCTCCTGAGCCGCTGGCAGTACGAGCGTTCGCAGAAGCAGGCTGGGGCCGCGCAGGACCTTTCCCGGACGTCCTGGAACTTCCTGGCCTGCCAGTTGTGGCAGGGAGGCTGCGAGGAAGAGGAGGAAGCGAGGGCCCAGCGCGAGGAAGAGGAGGAAGGCGGCAGAGGCATCCTGCTACAGCAAGGTAGGGTCCTCACGGGCTTCCCCCCCGGCCCTTGCTGCATTTCTCGTCTCCATTTCGTGGATGGCAGCGGACTTCAAACTTGTAGTCTTCAACTCCCAGCATTCTTAGCAATGGCCTGTTGGCTGGTCTTTCTGGACGATGAGGCCCGCACCTCTGAAGGACACGCAAGCATTGCTCTAATACAAACTTTAACATAATGGGGCTTTCTTCAGAGTCGTTTCTAAGTACCTTCTGAACATGGTATTACAGCTCAGGTGGGCATAGCATTCATTCCGTTTTGCATTTCTATTGATACTTAAAAGTTTTGGGATTCAGTGTGATATATTCCTCTAACAAATGCCCAGATAAATCAATTAAAGGATAACATAAAAATGCTCCCTGAACTCCCACAAGTTTTTACTGCATTATATATTTATTCATTTACTGTTTTAATGAGTGATTTTTATGCTGGCTTGTCTAAGTATTTTGGAATATGTTTTGTATTGTATTAGTTTTTAGAGCAGGTTTGCCACTGTTTCCATTGTTAACAAGATGGAAAAACATACAACCCGTGGCATTCAACCTTATACATCACACCCATAATTTTACAGTTTCAAAAATAATGTAGGAAGCCCCATCCAGACAGAAGTCTGCCCAAATTCTAGATGTAGAGCTATCATAGCAGAATGTACACCTGGGGTGGAAATCAAGATACTGGGGCACATCCAGATTTATACCACATGCTGTCATGTTTATGTCACATTCATTCCAATGTTCACCCATCAGGCACAATGAAAATAGAATAGCCTCAGCACAGTTGTAAAACATTGAGGATGGGGGACAAGACAGAAGTTTCTTCAAGCTAATTGCCTAGGAGCAATTCAACTCTTTCTTTTGTCAAACTGGTGTTCTTACCTTCTAGAGTGGAAATTGCCCATCCTGACTGAGTTAGTCTCTACCTGGTACTGCAGCTTTGGCAGATGCTGCACAACAGGAGACTGCAGAGTGACCAACAATATCACAGGTAAAGGCTTTGCTTTCTTTGAGGATTAGAGTGATAGTACCGCCACCACCACACTACTCCACTCTGACACATCTCCAAATGTCTTGGAGCTCCAATTCTCAGAACTTTCAGCTAGGTTGGGAATTGGAGAATCTGCTTACCCTACACTTCCAAAAGCACAACCAGGAAATATTAGGTCAATGGCAGGCAACTTCTTATGACTGTTGAGGGCTGCATGGGAGGTGGGGGTGGTAAATCACAGGATAACATCATCAGGGGGAACAATTTCTTTGGCTTTTTTTTTGGTATTTTAAGGAATGAAATGGATTTTACTCTTATTCCTCCCCCCAACTCCATTTTAACAATATTACATAACTGAAAATCAATGTTTTTGCTTCTGAAATTCAGGAGTGTGATCTGGGGTTGCTCTGGAGGTGCTAGGCAGCTTCATGTAGCTCACAGGCCGATCAGCTCTGCTTTACGTGCTGTGGATTTTGTTTTGTTAAAAAGTAGATTATAGTACTCAAGGCCTTTTTTCCTAAATGTATATAAAGTATAATATACTTCTGGAGAATAACTAGGCTATAAAACCAAACTCTCTCCCTCTTAGCTTCACACACTGAAGTTTCACTGTTCCTTTTTGATTTGACATGGGAACTAACACTTTTCCATGTTTGCATTAAAATTTCTCCTGTAAAGGTTGAAGAGACAGAACCGCTTCAGTTTGCATAATTTGAGCATTACTTGGGCTATATTTGAACTGCCTAGGAAGAAGCAACTCTCCATAGAAGAGCAATGTTAGTTAATAGGACCATGCTAGTATAAAATGCACAGTATAAGGACAAGAGCTCTCAGATTCCTATCTGCCTTTTACACCTAACAGTTTGGTTTTCAGGTTGAGTAACTGCATCTGTTGATCTCATTAGACTTTTCTATACAGCAAAGGATTCCTCTGCAAAACATTTAGGCTGCTTCATTCCAGCTAGAACAAGCTATAATTAAGAACCATTAAAATGAATGGATTAAATTAGTCCTTAATTTTAGTCCTACTGCTTTTGATCACAAGAATGGTGAGCAAAAATCCCAGACCACACAGGGGGACCTAGTGAATGACCTGCA